ATGGACTAAGACCGACAATTATTTTAATATATTTTCTGTTTATACGTTATTTTCATAAATACAAATATTTAAATAAATGCTCTGTTCATAATAAACAGTATTAACAATATTTACCGGCTTGAATGTCCGAGAAATTTCATAGAAAATATGTATCCTCCGATAGGAATCGAACCTGTATCGCCACTTAAATGTATGTCATATAAATAATCCTTTGTGTTGTTGGTTCCATGACTCTCCAGTCATGCCTTTAGAACGTAGCTATTTAGTATTATAATTTATGGTATAGACCAACCAACTTCAAGTAGGCAAGTCAGATCATAACATTTTTAAGGTCACTACAATCGCTTAGAATATGTTTTACAGTATATGCCTCCTGAAATGCCGTCTATTCGCGAGGATATTCATATTTTAGGAGAAATATAGGTGTGTCCTATTCTTATCCTCGATAGGTGGATTTCATCCTTCTGAGAAAGTCTGAATCTATATCATTCTAAAATGGATTCAATTTTGTAAAGATTGTTTTTTGGGCAGCTATAACTATTACTACTTGTTTGAGTTTATAGTTATTTGAAGTCCGTATCGGTGATTTTCAAATTTGAAATGTTTATTTTTTAAGTATTCTTTTGCTGCCATGTTAGCTTCTTTCATTTCCGTGGATGCCGATATGGCTATGTAGCCAAGTAGAAGATAAGTTGTTTTTTCTTGAAGATTAGATTGATCCTGTTTAGCAAGGATTATTTCTTTTTTGTTTTTCAAGGATGTAAGAACTGTAATCCTATTCTATAAAAATCCTCCAAAGCAGAAGCCATCACTTTACCAACAGACGTTGGCTATTTAAACTTCTTTGGGGTGGGAAACCAGAGTTTTTCAACTGTTTGCTTTGAATCTTTGATTTGGTGAGCCCAGGTTTCATCTTGAGTTATTAATCGGCGACGAAAATTCTTAGGGTTAGCCTGGAAGCGAGTCAGAAGTGTTCTGGATATTATCAACGCTTTTAAAGCTTCTGGCTTGGTGTCAGCATTCTTGAGACCCATCTTACTGACAGCTTTCTCGTCCTTAAGATCTTAATTAAAATAGTATGGATCGAACGAGAACTAATGCCTATGGACTTAGCTATTTACCGGAACTGTAAGACGTCTTGTCATCCAAAACCATACGGTGAATGACATCAAATTGTTCATCAGTGGTTGAGGTTTTGGACGACCTGATCGAGGGCCATCTCCTGTGCTGTCTCTGCCCCGCTTGAATTCCACAGCCTAACTCTTCACAGTTGCATAGGAAGAGTGGTATCCTCGGCAAGTGTCTGTACCATGTCCTCATGAGTTTTCTAGGGTGTCATACTTTTCTTTTACATATACTTTATGACTGCTCGGGCTTCAGATTTTTCCATTTTTACATTTGTCACACACCTCTCACTTTTGTATGAGCCTCACTTGCACAGAAACTAAGACAGAAATTTGAATTAGTTTTTCTAGTTTTATATGCCTCTTCTTTCTGGGTGATGCTTAGACCTTTTTGAACGACCCACGTAAGTATAGATAATGAATCTGATAAAAATGACGTTGCCTAGTTCATTGTTTGTTAAAAGCTTAAAGTTTAAAGCTATGTCTATGGATATAACTTCTGCACTAAAAATAGAGGATTTATAAGGTGGACGGTTTTTAATTGTTATGTTATCAAGAATGTCGGAACATCCGACTTAATCAATGCTTTTTATGCTTTTTAGTGTGTGCTTGAAGTTTGGATGCTCCAGTAAAATGTTATCAATTTCTTCTAAAACGACAGAGGGACTGATATTAATTTTAGGGTGTTTGGCAAGGTTTTGTTAACCAAGCTAGGCTTTTCAAAGTATTAGATTCAAGGGTTAGGTCTATTTGTGACCCATTAATAATGTTTTCACTGTAAAAGCTGAAAGGTTTGATGTCTGTTTATTTCTTTTTTTTGTTGAATAGATCTTTATATTGTGGTTAGAAAACACTGTTGAATGCAGGGTTATTTGGACAAGGATATTGTTTGATAGTAATGTGGGGTTAATTTCTGCTGTTTTTGTGTCAGAGGGATTTCGTGGGTTTCGGCGTACTGGTTTTCTACCGGAGATATTCTAAAAGCTCCAAAGACGAGTCATAGTCCCTGATGAGGAATTGTATGAACTTCTTTCAGCGACTAATACCTTGCAGCTCCATAAATGAAATAACCATAGTTCACTTCAGTATAGTATAAAATTTATTTAGTTATTTCATTCATTTTGTTAGTTCATTGCATGACTCAATGTTCACCTAAGGTTTGGAACTTACGAGTTAATTTTAGAGTTGCTCTTATTGGCTGGCTACCCTAGTAAGTCAGCTCTGGATTCATGTTTTTCCGTATCGCATTAATCTGAAGGGAAAGCAACGGCTTGAGATGGAAGCGGAATCTAGCGTACGTATTCGTCATACATCTATAATTTCTCTTCTGATTAATATAATTCAGGCTTGATCTTGGAAAGTGTAGGCAATGCTCACGTACTGATTTATCATAGTAATTCTTCTAGCATTAATAAGTTGAAAGAAAGTCGGCAAAATCACTTTTCGAAACCATTGTAAAATGCACATTTCCCTTGAAATATTTGTAATAGCGAAACGTTAAAAATATTTCTGCTTTGGTTGGTCAAGATATGAGAAAATCAGACAGTAAAACATTCATTTTTATTGTCTATTGCACGCGTCATTTCCCCAGGATGACTTTGCAAATCACACAAACCAGTAACTAAGATATTGATAAGAGATCCTGATGACTTAATGGAGTACAGATCAAACATGAGAAATTCTAAATATATCTTTATCTATCAGAGTCTACTATAGGCATTACAAACTTGTCTCGTTTAAAAATTCCTTGACGTAGTGAGTCAAATAATCAGTGGGTGTCTTACAATTGTTAGAATAAGTATAACTAACAAGTAAGGCTCCTCTGGTGATGGAGATAGTTGCGTATTTATCTTGGCACCAGACGTTGGCATTCAAGTACTACTTATGAAGGCAGCTATCATGACTTCATGAATTGGTTTCTACCCGTATTTCCACCTTTTTGATATTGTGCTGTACATTATGAGAAGAGTTGATGAATGACTTTCTTTATCTTCCACTTTGCCAATTGGCTGAAATAGTTGGGTATTACCACTGGTACCAGAACTTGATAACTGAGGCAAGGTTAAAAGCTATATTCAGAAGAACTAATCTAGACACACCTATAAATTGTTTTTTCTTTGCCAATCAAGGTCCGTCTGTCTTGTAGTTGTTGTTGCTAGCAAAGTCAGCAGGATTTATTGTTTGGCTAATATTCAACACGATAACATTTGCTACAATTGCCCATTTGTCCAGGAGGCAGCAATATATTCATATCTATATCACGTATATGTATATATCTCTGTTTTTCATATTAAATTTAAAAACGTTTTTATAATTACTATTTTGTATTGATTAATGTCTGTATAATGTTTTAATTGCATGGGTTGTTTAGTATATCAATATCTAGTTCACAATTTGTTTTTTATCACGAGATAAATTTTAATCTTTATGTACAATAAGCATATTCCTGTATGAAAGACAAATATCATCTACGTTTTAAAGTGGAGAAACACACGCACACACACATACATACATACATACATACATGTATGTATGTATGTATGTGCGTGTGTTTATATTTATGCAATGTAATGATTATTACTTTTGTTCTGCTTTTTTCCATCATCTCATCAATATTACCTTTGTGATTAGTATTTAAATGTCTCCTAAATAAAGATTATATATGATTGTATGCTATTTATTAAACGACTAAGATATTTCTACAGGTGGCTCTGGGATAATTATATAACTGACGAACATTCATTTATATCCATCAATAATAATATAGAGAATAATTAAATGGAAGAGATATGTTCTTTAGTCATGTTGGTACAAATTGTGTTAGGATTATAATGATATTTATTTCAAAATAGCAGCAGCAAAACGGATAAATTTTAGACAAGAAAATAGATATAGCTGATTACAATAGATGCTGAAATTTCACACAAAAACACTGGGATATATATATATATATATATATATATATATATATATATATATATAGAGAGAGAGAGAGAGAGAGAGATAGATAGATAGATAGATAGATAGATAGATAGATAGATAGATAGATAGATAGATAGATAGATAGATAGATTGGAACAGACTGAGATAGATAGATAGATAGATAGATAGATAGATAGATAGATAGATAGATAGATAGATTATATAAACATGGATGTTTAGGTAATTTAGAAAAAAATTCTAATGAAGCCAACAAGCTTTATATTAAAAGAAATGACTACAAATGAATTCTGGATACTAGTAAACAACAACAGTAAAAACAACAAAAATTACTATTACTACATTTATAACTACCTTAGTCTTACTTATTGTTAAGTGATTTCATTGAAAAGGGAAAAGATAATATTTTCAAGTGAAACTTTCCCCTCTGGTCACCAAATAGATAATTCTGGTGTGAGGACAAATTGATGTGATTGCTACTTAGTAGTGTAGTAATGCGTCAACTACTAGTATTACTACTAATAAAGAAAATTACACTTGAGAAAACATTGAGAAAAATAATGGTAATAATGCTTTAACAATGACAATGCATTATAAATCCTAGTGAAAATGATGGTGAATGTGGCATGAGTGAGGAAAGGAATGCTTGTAACGGTGATTTGTGCGGGTTCGGATTAAAACTAAACTCATCTATTGAAACCTGTGTGAAGCGCACATGCAGGCCACTGAAAAAGCCATCAGTAGTAGCAGAATTGTCTCGGGCGAGTAGAAGTTGGAGGAGGGGCACTTGTAGGAGTGAGGTAAGAGTACTTCTCGTCGCTTCACTGTTTTAAAGGAAAGCAAGAATTTTTGTAGGAGGAGCGAAAACTTCATTCAAAAAAAAAAAAGAAAAAAAAAAGTCAGTCCGTCCTGTGCATATTGAAATCAGAACCTGGGATGCTATCACTACAGAGTCATAGAAAGGGTGTGAGGAGGAGGGCATTTGCGATTGGAGGAATTTTACAGACTGATTGGGCGGGAACTAAAAGTAGAAGGGAAAAGACGACGAGCAGAGAGACAGAACTGGTAGCAGATGCAGGAGGAGAGAAAGGACAATGAAGATCGAATAGTGATACACTATTATGATTGAAAACAGCAACTGCTCTTCGGATCGATACAAAAACAAATTCTCTCTGCTTTTTCTATTGTAGCATGTCACTCTTTGTTTTCAAATTGTCTTTCGTTACCATTCTTCAGAATTCTTGCTTTTTCTCTTCCATCTTCTTTCTTCCTGTTATTCTGCTATTCTAGATATTTCTGAAATCATTCCGTTATCCATATCTTTTTTGTACCGTTCTACACTTATTAAATTAATTTCCTTTTTCCATTTGCTTCATTCTTTCTTCTTATCTCGTCTTTTATTTTGATGTATTTGTCTTTTCTTGTCATCATTCTGTCTTCTTCAACGCCTTTGCTTTCTCGTTTTCTCTTATTTATGCACATGATCTTTTTTCAGGTTTTCACTTATTTATTTTGTGGCGTCATCTCCAGTTATCTTTTGGTTTAACTTATTCTTCTTTGCACCCTATTATCATTTCAGTCATTTTTCCACATCGTCACGTATTTTTACTTTTACGTCGTCTTCCCTTATTTTACAAACTCATCATCCATGTTTTTATTTTCTCTTGTTACCACCTCCACTTTTTTTTTACAATTTTAGACATTTCTACTCTTACTTCTCTTCTCTTTTCAAAGTAAAATAACCCATTTACCGATACTTTTCATTCCATCTTAAATCCACACATAATCTACATCTCTTCCATTTTGTCATCGCACACACAAACATTATATATATATATATATATATATATATATATATATATATATATGTGTGTGTGTGTGTGTTTGTGTGTGTATGTGTGTGTTTGTGTGTGTGTTTCATTCTTTAGTATCACTATTCCCTTGAAAATTTCCTCCCCCTTTTTTGTTTTATTATTGCAATTTTTTTCTTTTTGTCTATCACCACTCTCTTTCTCTCTCTCTCTCTCTCTCTCACACACACACACACACACACACACATATATATATATATATATATATATATATATATATATATATATATACTTCATCACCATCGCTCCTTCATTTTTTACTTTAGCCTTTATCTATTTTGACATTTATCTGCTTTATTTCTTTTCCAACATCATTTTCCTATCCATTTTAAAACTTGATACTTTCTCATTTGATTTCCTTCATTTTATATTTCTTCTCTTCAAGAAACATCTATTCCCCCCTCTTCATTTTCTTCCTTCACAAATTTTCGACTCCTTTTCCTTTTCCTTATGCCTTTTAGTTACCTCTTTACGCTTTCATTTACAATGAGTATTGAAAACTATCGTTTGATTTTTCACTCTTCAAATATCTATAAACATAATCGTTGCTAATACGAAATTATGAATTGATATCAAGACAAGATTTGTAGTTTTACATTGGTCACTACATCTGATACAATCTTTTTTTCTCTCTCTCATATTTCTAAAGTATTAATGGATTTATTTCTAATCCGACATTTTTATTACTTCAAACATTATTATTTAAGTAGATATTCGTATACCAAATAGACGCCCAGTTTTATTTTTACTTTAAGCAGTGTGTATTATTTCTATAGATTCAAGAATTCCCAAAGAAAATATTATCTCTGGCAGGAGTCGAAGCACACCGGATCAAACAGTTGATTTCTCTTACAAAGGGTGACGTGGGTTCTATCTCAGTCAGTGAGAATATTTTCTTTAACATTTCTTGAATTCGCAGATCGATAGACGTAATACATACTGTTTGAAGTAAAAATAAAATGGGTCGTTTATTTCAGTTACGAGTATCGACTATAATATAGTTCTTGAAGTAATATACATACATACATATATATATATATATATATATATATATATATATATATATATATATATATAGGGGGTGTTTGTGTGTAGTGTGTGTGTGTGTGCGCGCGTGTTCGTATGTATGTATTCTTTTTCAGATTGTTTCCTTTGTATTTTCGTTTTACAGTTGCGCACTAATATCTTCCTTTCGCTCGGTTTTATCCTTCTTACCAGATATTGCTATTTTGAAAAAATATTAACCTTTTATTCACTTGTTTTGTTATTAGTTTTTCTTCCTTCCAAAATGAAATCCCACAATTCCTTCTATTCGTTCTCTTTAAATATTTTCCTTTCTTAATCCATTCCCAGCACTTCTTACTTTCTTCAACCATTCCTTAGATTTCATTCTTTTCTCTCAACTTTCACATCGCCGCCTTCCTTCAACATTTCTCTGCACTTCATTCTTGTCAATTTCTATTAGACTTTCATTTTCTTCGTTAATTATCTCTCTCCTTTTTCCCTTTTTCATAATCTCTCTCTTCTATTTTTCTCTCTCTTTCTTTATTTTCCTCTTCGTTTTATACCTTGCTTCTCGTGCTACTCTTTCTCTTCTTATCCATAATTTCACTTCAAAAATAATATTCTTTGCCCGTTAGAAATATTTTGCGTGTGTACACTATATCTGATTTTATTATACAAGTTAATGTTTTCACAATAAAATTAGTATTAAACCTATGTTGTTAAAATTACAGGATATTTTACAGGAGCAATAGATAATGAAAGTTGCAGTTGATAAGATCATTTATATGTGTCCGTTTTTATTATGCAAACCGGTTAAATGCAACATATATGAATTAATTTATGCAAACCGGTTAAATGCAATTATATATAAAATTATAGATTAAATATAAATTATATATAAATTAATCTAAAAGATATAGGTCACAAAAATATATATAATTAACACAATGTTCCATATAAATTTCATCAAAATTGCAGTTTTTTGCGCCATGATATTCTTCAACGTTCATAAGTTTAGCAATCTTTGATTTTATTAAATTTTCTACTGTTTTGATTTTAATGTGACTTTTAACAGTTTTTATTATTTCTTACAGAATATTGTTTTCAATTCTCTTTTAATGACGAACCGTATGTTTTCTATTGAATTATTATCTGGAGAAGTTGAGAGCCATTCCGCTAATTTATTTTCATGGAAACAATTTGTTAGCAAGGTACACACTCCGCAGATTTGCATTATCGTATCTGAATATAATCTTTGGCGCAAAGATTCTTTTTGTAACTTGTGCCACTCAAAAACATCTTTTACAGGCAATTACAATAATTCTTTTAAGTTTACGACTTACAATAATAATGCAAAGCATTACTTCCCCTCCCCAATGTTGACTTGTAAGTCAGCTGAAAATTTACATGCAATACCCAAACTACTATAGTTACATCCCTACAGTGGATAAAAAGTAGTTCTACCTTCATCACAGAAAATATTGTGGCGAAATCAGTTTTCATGTACTTTTTCAGCCAATGTAAACGTTTCTCATTGTGATATTTACTTAAATGCAGTAGTTTGATTGCTGTTATGTCTTCAAGGTTCTTAATATTCTGTTTCTTTTCCTTGTGCTTACATTTGCACACCATCTTTAAATATTTTCTTGCTCATATTTATTTTTCAATTCAATTTTCTTACCTTTGAATTTTTCTGAAATCTGAGATTTGAAGCCAGTTTTCCCTTTAAATGGCTAGTATTTAATTATGTATTTGATTGGTATCTGTGCAAATTTATTAATTTTTCAACGTCTTCCCATCATTCAAATTTAGAATATTTTGTTTCCTCTTTGAGATTAATTTGTTTACTACACATAGGAGATATGAAATTTCAATAGTTATACTATATATATATATATATATATATATATAGCGATTAAAAAAAGCCCCCTATATAATGTATAGTGACTCTCCTCTCTAACTATAAATTTTACATGACATCATATATAAAATAGGGAGTTACTTTTCAAATATATATATATATATATATATATATATATATATAAAGACATGTCTCGGTAAAGAATTTAGACAACAGAAAAAATAATATATGTTGGTCATATCACAACTACACTGTCTAGAAGGTTGAGTTTTCATTTGAATGATGCATCTAACAATTACAACAGCATGCCTGTCGACATTCGCGAATTCGAATAATTCATGTAGAAAATACATATCATAAAAATAGTAAACATAAAATTAAAATTCTTTAAGCTATCTATATTAAAAAAAATTGAAACTAACCCTTAATAAAATTAATTATGAACACTGCACAATTGTTTTAAAATGTTTTAAAATATCTAGGTTATTACTAATAGCTTTAAATACTTTTTAAAAAATATTTAGGCGTCTCAATAATTTGACGTTACTGCACGTTCATGTTTACACAATAAAATTTAAAAAAATTACAGTGCATAAGTTTCACGTTTTTTCACACCACAAGCAAAAAATTAAATTTTCAGATTAACACAGCAATTTAAGTAGTCGTGTATAAAATGTATATACATCAACTTGGTAATTTTCTTTCTTCCTTTAATAAGGATACAAAGGATCCTATTAAAAAAAAGTAGACAAAACTTGTCTAAATTATTTAACGAGGCATGTCTTAATGAAAATATGCTCGCAATATACATAGATACATACATACATATATATATATATATATATATATGGTTAGATTGAAATACACACACAGACACACGCATATATATATATATATATATATATATATATATATATATATATATATATGACTCTTATAAAAAAAAGATAATAACTCCAAGCACCTATCCTCCATACACAGAGAAACTGATAAATTCGCATTTAAATATAATATTGCTGATAGAATGGGTACTACTCACTTGAAAGATGCCTACCTACTGTTTAAAGACCATAAACCTAACTTTCAAAATAATATATATTCCAGACTAATAAATCCCTCCAAATCAGAGTTAGGAATAATTTCCAAAAACATTCTAAAATGAATAAACACATCTATATTAGAAAATTACCCCTTAAACCTTTGGAAAGATTCATCTGACGCCATTAACTGGTTCCAAAATCTAAAATCTAAAAATAAAGCCACTTTTATCCAATTAGACATTATCGACTTCTACCCCTCCATTTCTAAAGATTTATTAGAAAATAGCTTAAATTTTGCTAAAAATTATACTAAGATTACTGACGAAGAAGTAAAAATCATAATGGATTCTAGACAGTCTATACTGAGACTTAATGACACTACTTGGATTAAAAGAAAAAACAGAGACAATTTCGATGTGCCAATGGGAGCATTTGATTCTGCTCAAATAGCAGACCTAATAGGTATATACATTTTAGATATTCTGAGCAGATTTCTTAACCCCCAAATGTAGGGCTTTACAGGAATGATGGCCTCATTGTTATACCTAATTCCAATGGGCCTCTAACATCCCAACTACAGAAGAAAATAATTAAGGCATTCAAATTTCTAGGATTTAAAATCGAAATATCATCTAACCTGAAAATAGTAAATTTTCTAGACGTAACATTTGATCTCGACAATAACACTTATAAACCCTTCCAAAAGGAAAACCAATCGACTCAAACCACCCTAAAGCAATTATAAAACAAATTCCAAATACAGTAAATACAAGAATAAAAAAAACTATCTTCCAGTAAAACTATTTTTAACCAAAATAAATCAACATATAATCAAGCCCTATTAAAAAGTAAATTTAAACAAACACTAAATTATATAGATAAATCTATTAATAACACATCCTCTAAGTCCAAAAATAGGAAAAGGAAAATTATATGGTTCAACCCGCCTTTCTGTAAACTTTCAAATATTAATATAAGGAAATACTTTCTTAAACTAATAGACAAACATTTTAGAAAAGATGTTCAACAAAATGAATTTAAAAATTAGTTATTCCTGCATAAGCAATGTAGAAAAAATTATTAGCTCTCACAATAGCAAAGTTTTAAGTGAATCAACTACAAAAAGATCTTAATGCAAGCCAAAAGAACAAATCTACCTGTAATTACAGGGAAGGATCCGTTTGTCCAGTAGAGGGAATATGCATGACAGAAAACGTAATATACGAAGCTATAATTTTCCCCAAAGAAGATATTAAACAGAAGAAGATATACATAGGAATATCGGCAGGAAATTGGAAGCAACATTTTTATAACCATCGTCAATCCTTCACAAATAAATCTAGGAAGCACCAAACGGCACTATTAAAACATTATTGGGATTTGTTGGAAAGTAACTTAACCCCACAAGTAAAATGGAAAATCGTCTCGAGGGCTAGAACTTCAATAAATTTCAGAAACCGATGTAACTTGTGCATAAAAGAGAAAATCCTAATAATAAGGCATAAAGATCCGGACATATTACGGAACAAACATAACGAGTTGGTTTTTAAATGTAGACATAAAAGCCACCTCAATTTAACTAAATATATTTAGAAATAACTACATCAAAAGGAAAATATTACTTTTGTTTTTGAGATGAATGTAAGAACACATGGATGCTGTGCTTGTTCGTATGTATACAAAAACGTAGATGAACTTGGACATTTATATGTGATTTTATATATGTATGTATGGGCATTTTGGATAAGGGTGTATATATGCATATATGTGTTTGCATGAATTGTAGGCGCATATATATATATATATAACCTTAAAAAATTAATTTGACGTTTTTTTTAAAAAATTAATTTGACGTTTTTTCCCCCTCCGTCTCCTTTCTTTTTCCTTTTTCTTTTCTCTCTTCTCCCCTCCCATTTCAATATATCACTTCCGTTAAGTTAACCGTCTAAATAGGTCAAGGTCTGGTCACTCCTTCTCGCCCAATACAAAGTATGCTTGAGAGAGATATGAAATTAATCCCTCCCTAAACTCTTCATGTCTCTTAACTACTCCATGTCTCTTTAACTACTCTTTTTACACTCTCTGTTAAATTACAAAAACTTACACTACCCATCAATTTTAATTTCATTTTTTGTTTAATTTCAATTTTGGAAGTGCTATCTGATGATCAGGCGTCCTTTAAAAGGGCTCTGGTGAAATAAATTATTATAATGGTACCTTAAAGTGGTCTGATTTTTCTTTTATATATATATATATATATATATATATATATATATATATATATATATATATATATATAAATCGACTCTACCGTCGATTTTGGCGTATGACTGTGCAACAAAAAGTCCAGTTCTGGTTCTCATGCCTGGTGTGACACTTAAGTCATTTTTGCATAAAAGTTCTCAAGCTTTACAAGTGTGGGGATTGCGAGCCGTGATTATGAGTAGTGCTATCTTATTCCTTCTTCATACTTTTTGTAACCCGTCAATCCGACTCGTTTCGTAGATCTTGATACCATTTTGACACCTGCTTCTCCCCCCTGTCTATCCAGGGCCACTGGGTCATATATGCTGAGTAAGGTTTGTTGGCAGCTGCTCTTGAACCAGGGCCCGTCGTCATTTCGTTTTCCAGTATTTGGATATACTGTACTCATTTATTCTGACAACATGACCGGTACATCGGAGTTGCGACTACATAAGAAACGTCAATAGCTCCAATCTTGCACATGGTAAACAGATCAGCATTGGTCTTCAACGGTGTACTCACAAATTACCCTGAGACTACCTTCATGGAATATATGCATTTACGTTACCGACGCGTTTTCGTCCAATGTGAACATTGTTTTTTTGCCTTGAGAAAGTCCACATTGGACGAAACGGCAGCTGTTACAGTTTTCTTGTTGTCATATATATAGGCACGGTGGAGTAATGGATAGCGGTTTGGATTGAGGAATCGCAGAGCCGAGTTCGAATTCCAGTCGAATCCATTACATTCACTTACGTTTCCCTTGGGAAAGGTATGAATCCTCTCCCTCTCCCTCCAGCTATGGGTAAAATAGCAGGACAGACTGGCTTCTATAGCCTTGGATGGCAACTGGTCTAGGAGAAGGACAACTCTGAATTCAAAACCTGCGGAGGGTTTGGGAACCTTGTGACATTCGGTGCACCAGGTCTCTGTATTCGTCCCTTCAAAAAGTGTGGATGGTCCTGCACGAGGCCTTCACCACTATAATCAAATCTCATGTGCCGGTGTCGGGCTGTCGGTTTCCTGGAAACTGATCTGCTTGACCCTCATACGTCGAATCTCGACGGGAGAGTCGATTATTATATATATATCTGTGTGTATGTTTTAAAGCTGACAATGCGCATTATTTTCTTTAAAAAAGAATCTTTTTCGCCGAACAATTCTTCAGAAAGATTCGTTTGAAAAACAAACACACACACACACACACACACAAAATTATAAACGGCGAAAAAGTTCAAGTGGTGGGTATAAAGATAGAGTTAAATTTATTATTAAAAACAATAAATCGATATAAATAAGCCCTTAGTAAGTACGACGAGGAAATATTTTTACTCCCGACCCACTCATGAGACACAGAGAACGAAGAAATTTCTGTCTGCACAACATCTTCTAAAAAACGTAAATGTTCAGCCGACGTAGCTTTGTGCATACCATAAGCACTTCGTGAGAATATCTCAAAGCCGGCTTGTTCATCAAACGTAGTCTAATAGCTGACTCCACACGACCGATTCAAGCGAATTCTGTCACTGACTTCACATATAAGAATATGTTCAGACGCATGCTATTCAGTCCGGGTCTCCAACCGCAGGGTGGTTCACCCCACATAGTCAGCTTCACACTGACATTTAAATTTATAAATAACAGAACTGCTTTGTATTAGGGCAAACTTGAATAGTATCAAAGACAACACGCAACTTGACAATAGAAAAGCTAGATGTCACACACGCCGATACCTCATTGGCAACTGGCTGACGATTCCTACCTAATCACAGCAGTTTTAAATAAGCTGGACAAAAACAAGGTCCAAAGCTCTTAAAACTCTTAACCTTACGTTCCACCGTACGTTTAAAAACATTTTCCGTGTAACCGTTATCCCTGAAAATATTTTAAATGTTCACCAATTCATATATATACATATGGCCACTCATATTCGAAGATACCCGTCTTGCCAATCCCTTTTGCAGACGCTTGCTTCGTGGTTTATACTGTGACTATGCTAAGCATGTTATCTATCGTGATCAACAATGTGAACAACGCCAGCGCGCCCAAGCCCTCGGTTAAGATGACTTGTGACTTCGTCTTAGCACAGCTATCGACGGTCTGCATGGTTTCCGTCTACCTAATTTCACTCACAAGGCTTTGGCCAACCCGTAGCATAGTTTTCAGGCACTTTCCAATATATATATATATATATATATATATATATATATATATATAATATACAAAGAATACAAACTGAATTGCTTGAATATATTTACAGCCAAGTACAGACTCTGTAATAAAATTAGCTTGCCTAGTCATATCATTACCTACGTAATACCTGTCTATCTTATTGTCTCATTTTTTCTCTTTATTTAAAGTCTAAGTTGTTCAATTTCAGTTCGTTATCTAATTTGATTTTACTTATATATGCAGCTCTATATCTATTTTAGTCTGTCATAAACTGAATAAATGAATATATGTATAATCTCAGTTAGACTGAGTGGAATGCGCTAGCAAATTTACTGCTGACACAGACTGATGAAAATCTTTCCCCCACAGTCATCCATGAAACACAATGAACTTTAAATTGAGTATTTTCGTCACAACTTCAAGAGAAATTCATTAAACAACAGGTTCCTTCATAACATGTCTTCATTGACTTAACTAAGGCATTCAACATGGTGAACAGAGTGAGGCCTTATTAAAAATTCTTGGCAAACTGGGACGCCCAAAAACCTTTCTTAATCTGTATCGAAACATGAAGGTTCGGTTCACCTGTAATGCTGAACTTCCGAAAGAGATTATTAACAATGGAGTGAAAACGGCTGATATTACAGCACTTACTATTCTTGATATCCTTCGCAGTATCACGTGTGTATGAGTTTCAGGTTTGTGACAACAAGGTATACCTTGGTTTTGGGACTAAAGGAAAGGTATCCGATTTGATAAGAATACCTTTTTTATGCTGAGGATACGAAATTTAAAGCGTAAAATCTGGTATGTAACAAGTAATAAATCGCTACTTCAGTGCATGCGTTAGGTCCCAAGCTTCAAGATGAGTAATGTTCACTTCTCCACTTCTGGTGGACTATGTAGAATTTAACATCTGTCTGAAAGGAAATATATTGAATGTTCTTTGTATATTTGGACAGTAATCTGTCTAGAGATGGCTCATTAAATGCGGAATGAAAGAACGGGAATATGCTGATCGAGGCAAGGTCAGTGTTTATATCGTTTGTGTTTTGACAGTGCTTCTCCTAGGAAAGAAACAATACATCATATTCATCTTAGAAATATTTGAAAATAAGAAACAACGTAATAATCTTTAATAACTTATAGGGAAAGGCTTAATAGAATTGAAGTGTTAGCATCGAGACATTCATCATCTACAATCAAATGATTTTTTGCAAAGCATGTTCTAGGCATTAATAACAACGTATTCAAAAGATATTTCTATAATCAAATACCAAATGGGAGTCGACAACAATATAAGCCCAAGAAAAGTGAAAGTATTATATTCAGAACAACCATCATGAATATTGATATTAACACCTGCTATGAGTTTGATTTTTTCTGATTACTGAGAAAAATGGTTGTAAGTTAGAAGGAAGGAGTTAAACTTGTTGCACTGTGATCATCGGAAAAGAGGTGAGTCAGCAATGGATAATGCCTTCTATGTACCGTGTCTATTCAGGGTATTGGCGATTATGGCTTTCCATAATTTCCTATACTTTGTAGCTCTTAATAAATTTTGTCTTTTTGTCATCTCTCATAAACCCTGTTCTTCCATTCATTTACTCGGGCTCGCTAGGTAGGTTATGTGTCGTTTTCCTATGTCTCTTTTATCTTCAATCTGTCCAGGGTGCATCAAATTTTCCAGGCCTTCTTTCTTCATTATTCGCTCGGGAAATTTCTTTTTCTGATGTTATAAGAGGTCTTTTTGCTTAAGAACTGGAAATGTAAAATGTCTCGTTGCATCACTCCAAATAAGTGTATAACAATCACATTTGAGCCAACAGAAACAAGCTGCTTATATCAACGCCCTTCAATGTCTAGAGCGTTCCATCTGTGCAGTTTATACCAAAGTTTGTAAAACTCTGGAGAGAAAAAGAAAAGTTCACAAAAGTGGCATTCCAAAAAATATTTTGGTGATGATGGATGGTTGCATTTTGTCCGCCATGTTTGCAACGGGCCTTGTAAATCAGCTTCTCGTCTTAAGAGTCATTTTACATGGGCAGGAGGAAGGTATTGGCGAATCAAAGGACACTGGAAACAGCATTGCATATGCAAACTATTTTACCAGATGGACCAATTAACATCTGAGTTTTCTCCCAACTATGCATATTTCAGTTCTTATCTATCTATCTATCTATCTATCTATCTATCTATCTATCTATCTATCTATCTATCTATCTGCCTTTCATTCTGTTTTTTCGATTTATTTCTCATTGACGTTTTCCTTCGTAACAACAGACATCTAAATAAAGTAATTAGCGGTATCAGTTAATTACATTCATCGGTCACATAATTATATGCAAATATTTCATGCATAAATATTTATCTGTGGACAATCATCAATTCATCTTTCAGCAAACCTTCATCGTTATTCATGCAATTTATCTTCTTTAATTCTCTCATCTTTTATCGAATTCTGATCTAAAAGCATGAAAACTTATACGAATAAATATGGATGAGAATCTCGAAATACACACACATGACAACTAATGTGTTTATTTGCTGTTGATTTTATTAGTGTTATTTCCAAGTGCACCCACTCACATAAACACTCGATTAAACATAACATAACCCCCTCTCGAAAAAGTCAAAGCACACACATATACACACTCTCGACTCTACACAAATACGCGGAGGTAGACAAAGTCACAAAGAAACTTGAGCATAAAAACGCAAGGATATTTTAACTATTAGTGTTTGATAATAGAAGTGCTTGCCTCCTAACTGTATCTATGCGTGTGTTTAATTGCAGCCTGCTCGAGATAAATTTTTATCAAAAGTTCAATTTGTGACGGGAGGAAAGGATGGTGAAAAAATGGGTTAAGGAAAAAAAAGGAAGAGAAACGTTTGTGTAAACATTGTTTTCTACTGCTTTTTACAATGTCGCCCTTAAAAACAAGTAGCATGTAGTTTTTGGTAATTAATTCACAGATTGGTCCACTACCATTTCGTCTCCCACCCCGGTTTCAGTCTTATTGCAGAATATTATCTCGTCACCTTCACTTTCTTTCTGCACACTTCGTACACAGACTCGTGTGCGCGTGTATGTGGGATCAAAAGTGAACGTGCATGATATTTAAGAGAAAAACAAACAATACACACTAGAAGTGTTGAGGCGATATTGAGCAATTCATGTTCAACCACAGTTTGAAACTTAGATGAAATTGTTAAAATTAAAGAAAAGATCATCAAAAATCATAAACAATGAATTTTCGTTGGTTTTTAACGAAATTTGCATGAATCAGAATTTGATGATCAAATAAATTATAATGTTTTATTTTAAATGTACTCCTTATCATAAAAGTGTATTTCGTCATGGAATTTTCTTGCCGGTCGTCTAAACGTGTTCAAGAAAAGAGGAACAAGAAACGTGTGTAGAACTGTTGAAACGTGTGTTGAAATGTTGAAATTCCGGAAAACAAGCGCCTGTGAATTACGTACGAGTTCGTTTTTCACCCTATATAACACTTTTCGTGATATAACACACACACACGCACGCACATACACACACAAATATACATACATACATACACCCATACACACATATATATATATATATATATATATATATATATGCACAAGTTCCAAAAAGTTTGTAGATGAACGCACATATATATGGGTTCAGTGTCGCACAAATATTAAAGGATAAAATGATATGTAGATATCATGTAGAAATAGTTTTTAAAATATAAGCATAACTAAAAACAAAACACAAAATTCTAATTTTCATTTAGTAGTTTTTATACTTCAGTTACGGATTTTGTTCAGTATTTTTTTGTATGGATCCTATGCCGCGAACGACGGAGATAAAAGTTCATATCATGACAAAGTGCAATTCTAAGTAAAGATTTTTTTTTAAACAATTTTAAAAGAATATGAATATCAGATTTCAAGGCTGACATGCCACTAAAATTTGGCAACAGCAAAAGTACCGAATCATGTAAACTTTTCTAATCTTGACTACACAGGTATAATTATGATAACGCTATGAGATTGTATCACTTCCTCCAAGAATGACTGTTCCCCGTGGCTATTAAGATGTTATCATGAAGCTGTATCTGTGTAAAGCCCTAAAGATGTTTTATTGTCAATCTTAAAACTGAAAGTGATAAAAATCGGAATTGAATTTTGCGATGTGTATGTGAACATTTTGGAATCAATCTACGCGACCTTATTTCTAAAACGAAAGAACTTGCCATCTTGAAGCGAATAATTATTTCCAGTATGGAACAAAGAATGACGTCCGGCCCAACTCAGTGCTGTTGTTCACGACTAGCTGACAAAATTATACACATCCCTCTTTACACATCTTAGAGAATTCTTCTTTACACAATTCGTGGTAAGTCTACATAACAGAACACGCGCAATGATATCCAACTGCCAAATCAACAAAAATAGAAAAAAAGAAGAACGAGAAATCTTAAAACATTAATAAGAAAGCTTCTTCTTTTATATTTTATTTGGTCTCCTTTAAATGCTATTCGCAGAGCAAATCCCATAAAAAAAATTATTTGCATGTGGATACAACGACGAAAAAACTTTGACAAAGATGTAATTATTAAGTAAAATGTGGGAAGAACGTATATCTATATTTAATTAGACGATGAATAAGCATTGGATAAGTTACAGCACAAGGATCTATTTGAACTGTTAATAAAACGTTATTTATTTGGGAAAATATTAGAATATTCCAAAATATTTAAACAACCTGCATACAGATAGAAAATGAATTGAGTACACAAAAATAGAAAGTGCCGTATGATAAGTATGTGGTTTCTCATTGGATTTATTAACCTTTATAATGAGTCTAGGCACACTACCGGGATTTATTATCAGTAAGCACAACTAGAGCAACATAAGATAAGCAGATGACACCATTTTGATGGCAGCCACAAAAAGAAAATGACAGGAACTCCTACATAAGATAGTAAAAAAGTGAGAAGAAAATAATAAGCAGAAAATTGATGTGTTGTCACCAGCAAGGAAAAGGGCATAAGATGTGATCTATGAGTTGGCGATGCCAAAAAAGTACAGAAACTTAAATATCTTAGAACTGTTTTAGAAGCCAACGAAAAATGTAAGAGATGCTTTCTAGAATCTGAAGCAAATATTAAGAAACATAAAAATTCTATTAGAAATAAAGAAAAGTTTTGAAAGGCTTTGCAACATCCATCCTATGTTGCAGTGAAGCAGCGAATCATATGAATGAAGCAACGTGGAAGTTTTAAGAATATATATATATATATAGTTTTAAAAGGATTTCTTTGACTTCATGTATCCAGTTTGTACAGACTTTGTTTGAAAAAGGTGACGACAAGAAAAGGTGCAAAAGATTAAAAAGGACTACATTTCAACTTCAAAATACATAAAGCCAGTAATCTTGTATTATTTCGAACTATTGTTATCATCTTGATTGATGTAGAGATTATTATAGACCAAGTACTCAGGTAATCATCAGGTGTGAATTGATTTGGATGATATGGGATATCACTTGATTATTCTGATAAAACTGATGTCAATTGAGTACTTGATCGCAACTTTGTGTCTCTAATAACATCTATATCACTCAAGATGAGAACAATAGTTTGCAATAATACGAGATTATTGGCAATTACCCATCTCGGCAAAAATCCCATATCAGCCAGTCTATGGACATCTGATGGTGACCATAGGGTACTTGGTCGAAACGTTATGTCTATAATAATATCAATATCAGTCCAGATTGGAACAATAGTTCGAATGGATACGAGATTATTGACAATTACCCATCTCGACAAAAATCCTATATCAGTCAATCAATGGACATCTGATGATGACCAGAGGCTAGCTGGTCGAAACGTTGTCTATAATAACATCGTATATCAAACAAGATGAGAAAAATAGTTCGAAATAATACAAGAATATGCCAAAGATAGATCCAAATTTTGAATGCTTAGTAGGCAGGCTTTCCTCTCTCTAAAGGATTGAAACAACACAATCTTTCAAACACCCATTTTGCACCATTAAGTTATTTGATTCATTGTAAAGTTTAGAAACACATGACTAGTTGAAGAAAAAAATAAAAGTTATAGCCATTGACTTATTATTATAAGTCAGTGACTTATTTCCCCTGAGTTTTGAGTTTCCTAACTTGTATATTTTCTGCTAAAATAACAGTTGGAAAGTTAATAAAACATGAGTTAAGTTAATTTAAAAAAAAACAATTTGGACTTGTTTTTTTTTTTGTAATCATAAAGTTGTGATTTTTCTTCAGTGTAAAACTTTCAATATTAATAACAAATAAATAAATCCTGCCTGAAAATCATAATGACAATTGATCGATATCAACTCAACCGGCCGCATCTCAGCATTCAGAGGACATGGTTCGGTCATTCTGTATAAACAGGGAATTATACAGACATTAAAGCTATAGAGCGATTTAATGTTTGCCAAACAGAAATATCTTGAATAATAATTTAATTTCTTTATCTTTTGAAACCACTCTTCTGAGATATCCTTTGAAGCATTCAATCAAAAAATAATCTATTATTGAAGTCAATAGTTGACAGATATTTGGTTATTATTTATATTTAATAAAATCAATTCATTATTTATATTATTTACAGTCAGACAATTGTCCCCATCTTTGTAAATAATGATAAATTCTCATTCCAGAAAATCAGACAGAAGTTATCTTAATTCTTATCTTAGTTCATTTTGTTCCACCAATTTATCTCATTCTGTCCGATAGTATATATTCACAAATTAATACATAAACTCAGCGTATATTCACTCGTATTATAACGAATCTTTATTTACATGACTATGTATTTTATGCGTCTTATGCTTGCCGCACTCTTATCGTTATACTTGCATCGATGCGATACAATTATATAAATGATATTTAAACATCACTGATGAAAAGATAAAATAAAACTAAAACTAAAATTCACCATTCCCACAAAATAAGAGAAGAAAACAATATACATTTCCCTTTATTGTACTTCATTTTTCTTTGTTTGATCTTTCTAAATATAGCTACGCAGAGGGTATCTATAAAGTGAAACTGAATGTCTTATATCAGTTTAGAAGTATCTTGCATCATCTTGCGTCCATCAAAACATTGATAGCAGTAAAAGAGTTTCCTAGGCGCTGACCATGCGACAGATTGTTATATACTATTAACAACTAAGTAATTTCTGATCATTGAAAAGAGTGCATACTTGCCTTAAAGTTAAATTTACATTAATTTTCGTGTAACTAACAT